AAAAGAATACACGATATGTTCGTTCGATTGTGTTAATCAAAAACGAACAAAATCGATCGGAAAATCAGTTTTTCTCGGATCGAGAAGAAACACTACGATTCTCCGAATAGCTCCAAAAGCAAAAAACAAAATTTGTCGTTAATCTACAATACTTTTGCTAGGGAAGTACCCACGATTATATAGTTTTATGAAAAATTCGTAAATTGGCATCAGTTTTAACATTTTTTTCATTTTTTAACTAAAAATCGACTTTAAATTATTAATGACAATCTTAATTATATATGAATCTTAAAAAGCGTGTGTACTTCCCTAGATAAGCGAGTTACAGTGTACGCAGTTTTGAAAAATGTAGTTTTAAGAAAAACGCATTTAAAATTTCAGGACGCATTTACTATATGACATATTTAAAATAGCGACTTGAAATTGTTTTCACTTTTACTTGATATCCCAGCATCATATAACCACTGCTTTATATTTATGCTTCATACTTTATATTATAATTAAACTGATTTGTACCCCCAAAAATTATCAGCAAACTATAATATGTTTAAAATTTTAAATTACCATGTAAAAAGTAGTTTAATGCATTTTTGTCGAAAAAATAGTACACTGGAACGTCAATCGAGAACAGAGCTTTGTGTAGTGCTGTTCTCGATCGACGCGATCTTAATCCCTCGAAAATGTAAACATTCAGTGCCGTAAGTATTTGTTTTTGTACAGGTATCCTGTTCGAGAGTGATTTTTTTTAGTTTTGAAAAGTAAATCATTTTTTTATTATAATATAATATTAAAAGTATGATAATATCAATAAAATTTTTAAAAAACTAACATATGAGTATGCAAATAAATTGTATTAATTTTAAGATATAGGAAAGAAATATAATTTTATGAAAGCAAAGGGTTGGAAATTTAACAGAAGGGTAATTTGTAAAAACGAAAATTTTAAAAAGTGGAACTTTTTATTACAAAATTTTAAACAAACAGAATTATTGCTAATGATGTAAATTAAAAATGTTTTTTGTTAACTAGCAGTCTCTAGTAGTCATACATAAATTAGAACAATTAACACAAATAATTTTTTGTTTTTTTGTAATTAAAGTATCTAAATATGTAAAAATTACGTACTATGCTTTAAAAATGTTAAATATTTTTTGAACTTAGTTCGAATTAAATATTACATAGTTATAAAATATTGAAGTATATGAACATGAATAATTCTTTCGTCTTTTTAGAAATAAATAATAAACTTCCTTAACGATTGTATAAATTATTTTCACAACAGTTTAACATTTTTAAAGATTAATTTTGATTAACTATACGTAATGAAATAATTAGATATATTTGTATAAAGTACTTAATACAATACAAAACGATATTGATGAAATCCATTCTAGTTTGTCACTGAATCGAACTTTGCAGATTTAAATTATCCTTTTCGGCAAGAGAACTCTCTGTTTGTTGTTTAATTATATTTCTCACTTCTTCAAGTACCTCGTGATGGTGCAATAAAAAATCAGAAGAATGTGAAGCATAATGTTGTAATTTTTCGATCATTTTAAATGCTTCTGATGCGAAGATTTGATTAGATTGATCAACTTCCATATTATTTTCATTTTCTTCATTAGAACTTAAATTCACTTCTTCAATTTCCCCATTAGTAATTAAATTGACAATTTCATCGTCTGTCAATCGTCCCCAACCGATATCGGAATCGTCGTTATTGTACCACTCAGTTATAAGTTTTTCCGTTTCTTGAGCAGAATGTTCCGATTCAGATAATTTTTGACAGAATTGATTAAAAATTTCTGAAAAAGGGCTTCCGACTCATCAAAAACATTATTAGAAGATTTTTCATTGCTGTTACCACTTGAAAGATTATTATTTAATGAATGATCTTGATGATTGATGACACATGATTCGCCCAAGTGTGGTTTTCAAATTTTATTTAGGGTTGACTCCTGTAAGCTTTCCCAAGCTTTTTTCAGATTGATGAGACAATCACTGATGTTAATTTCTTTCAGGTAACTTACAGTGCCGCCATGATGAAATAATGCACTTCTTAGCAAGCTCTTTTTATAGTGTTTTTTGGTGATTTTTTTATAGTGTTCCTTGGTCCATTGGCTGGATTAATGCCGTTACATTTGGTGGTAAATACACGACTTCAAAGTTGGTGTTAATCGCGTTTAGTTCCTCTTTGTCCGGATGAGATGGAGCGTTATCTAGCAACAAAATTACTTTTCCCGACTTTCCCGAATTTTTTTTTATATTCCACAACTGACGGAATAAATACTTCCGTGTACCTGCAAAAATTATATAAATATGTTATTTTAAAAAAATTTAATTGGAAAAATGTGAACGTATAAAATTTAATTGATACCATAGCCTAAATATCTTTGAATTCATCCACGCGCTGGTTTGATGAGTATATATTATACCATAAATTGGTATATGTTTTAAGCGCTGCGTTCTTAAATTCGGCGTTATAATTCTGCACAAACATCTAGGTGTTGCTGATTTTCCTATTATTAAAAGTGGTATTTGATGATTGCCACTGGCATTGGCACAAAACAAAGAGGTTACCCTCTCCTTATTTTGTTTGCGACCTGCGACGTCGTCTGTCTGTTGGGAAAGCGAACATGAGACGAGAGATTTCCAATAAATGCCGGACTCATCGGCGTTGTAAATGTTGTCCAAACTTAAGTTCTCTTGCTCAATTTTAATTTTTAAAGAATCGGAAAAATTATTTGCGTTCTGCGAATCACAGGAAAGTTTTTCTCCTCTTAAAGTGTAATTTTTAATGCCGTACCGTTTTTTAAAATTTTTCAGCCACCCCGAGCTTGCATGTAAAATAATTATTTTGGTAAAATTATGAACTTCAAATTCCATTTACTGTTAATTTACAACGATAATAAATTATAAATTATTACAACATATGTATAAATACTTAAATGTCAATATTTTCATAAGAGAATATAACTTAAAAAAAACTAACAGGATATATGATATGTTTAAGTTTTCCTTAGATCTAAAATATTCAATAAAAATTATTTTTCATTTTACAAAATTAAAAAAGAATCTATTAATCAAAGCAAAACAATCATAAACATAACCTACAATTTTTTGCTTGTTGGGTACTTTCCTTTGCGACGCGTCAAATATATTAAAAAAATAATAATATGTTTTGCTAACATAACCTATAACATTATTGCAAAAGCATGCACATACATACCTCTCTAACCTACAAAAGTAAAGTTTCTACTTATTTATTTCATCAAAGTCGAAGTGAATTCACTTTTTTTACTTACTTTAAATGACGGGGAAAAATTTAGTTTTTCATTAAAAATTAGTGCTTTTTCCTGTAAAAGAGGCCCGGAAACGGGATCTCCTTTATCTCTCACTTGTTGAAACCATTTGATGATTGCCTGGTCCAAAATCGGGTTTTCAGATGATTTCGATGTTTTTCGATTTCTTGTTTCACTTGTATTAATTTTACCCGAAACAGTTTCTTGGCGATAATGCAATTTGTAGCACACTGACTCACTAATATTATACTCTCGCATTATATTTTCGTGACATTCACCCGCTTTTAATTTTTTAATGACCTCGGACTGTTCGAGGTAAGTTAAAAATTTTTTCTTTTTTTTGCACTTTAACGCGGCTGCCGGTTCAGACATTTTGATTGTACAAACAGAATACTCAAACAGTAGGGCACCGAATGCACACTAAACTCATAGGCCAAAAGTACGACACTGGCGCTAAGCATAACCCTCCCCTGTGCCCGCACCACCCCTACCTATCAAGCTCTGTCTTCGATTGACGTGTTCTCGATTGACGTTCCAGTGTATTTACATATCATTCTTGGATAGTTTATGCACCATTTAATCCAATAAAAAAAATTGAAAAAAAATTTTTTTTGAGTAGTATAACCTCTTAAATGTTGACATACCCACTTACAATGTGTGTTCTTACATTGTGAAAATAGTGTTTAAGAATTGTCGGAAAAGTGTTTTAAAACTATTATTTTGTATTGTTTTAATGTTTATAAAAAGTTGTTCTAACAAAACTAACGTGTAATTATGTGCGTTATTCAAAACCCAGTAAAAAAAATTCGATACACGGACCGCGGAGTTCGTATACGAGCTCGGTAGCTCGTATGAGAAATATGAGAAATCTCTCATACGAGCCTTTTCCGTAATGAGAAGTGTATAGATGCTTGTATACGAGGTGACTTTTAAAGCATTTTTCTTAATATAACACTATTTTAAAGTAAATGTAGATAATAGAAATGAATTTTCAAAGTAAAACAAAGCTAAATTTATAAGGGAAATGAAGTTTTAAGAAAAAAAGGATAATTTTGTTCAAAAAATTTATTCACATGAAAAAAGGTTAGAATTTGATAATTCCTTGTTACTCTTATTTACCGACATTAGATATTTCTCGGATGCAGTAAGCACGATTTTGTATTAGCGGTAGAATAAAGAAGTTATTCTTCATTACTAATTAATAATATATTATTATTTATTTATTATATAAATGTTCTTATATAAAATAATTAAATTTAATACAAAATCGTGCTTACCGCATCCGAGAAATATCTAATGTCGGTAAGTAAGAGAAACAAGGAATTTTCAAATTCTAACCTTTTTTCAGTGTGAATACATTTTTTGAACAAAATTATTCTTTTTTTCTTAAAACTTCATTTCCCTTATCAATTTAGCTTTGTTTTACTTTGAAAATTCACTTCTATTATCTACATTTACTTTAAAATAGTGTTATATTAAGAAGAATGCTTTAAAAGTCACCTCGTATACAAGCATCTATACACTTCTCATTACGGAAAAGGCTCGTATGAGAGATTTCTCATATTTCTCATACAAGCTACCGAGCTCGTATACGAACTCCGCGGTCCGTGTATCGAATTTTTTTTACTGGGAAGCAATTTATGTATTTTAGAAAATGGGACCATAAGTCTAAAGATAAAATTACTACCAATTTTACAGGAAACATTGAATACACTTGTCCAGCTAATAGTGAATGTGAAATCAACAAACGAAGAAGAAAAGCATGTCAAGCTTGCAGGTTTCAAAAGTGCTTAAGACAGGGAATGCTAAAAGAAGGTGTCAGACTGGACAGAGTAAGAGGAGGTAGACAAAAATACAGACGATCTACAGATCCATATATACCTGGTAAATCAACAAATCTTGAAGGTAATTTATTAAAACCTTTATTTGCTATTTACTTTTATAAAAGAAAACAAATTTTATTACAAAATTATACGAAATTGATAATAATCCACGGATAATGATCAGAGAAATTTTAGATGATTCAGGCTTTAATTAAATTTTTTGAATATGTTCTTTTATATACGTGTTAAATAAACTTTAAAAATTTGTTTATCAAAATTTTGGCACTTTTTAAAAGCAGCCTAGAACTTTTTTCTTACTTTAACAAGACAACTTAACAAATTATAAATAAAACTTTGAAGTTGACGATCACTACGAGTCAAAATGGATATAATAAAAACAAAAGATGTTTTTTTGACGTTTCGAAAGCAGGTTGTCCTCTTCAGAAATTACAATTTATTAAACAATAAAAATTAGCAAAATACCTATTCATAATTAAATAATACTTAAATTTTAACAATTGATAATTATTTATCGAAAAAAGATATTGAAATTAAGATAGTTAGATTAGAATTTAGATTAGAATTTAGATAGTTCAGTGAGTTTTTCCGTTTCTTAAAAAACTAGAACTTTATTAAAAAATCTTTACTTAAAGAAACTACACTCGATTCTCGTTATAACGACGATCTCGGGACTTCAAAATCTCGATATTACGACGAAAGGAGAGGATCCTACTTCACGTTCTATTCAAACGTCAAATACGTGCTAAATTTTTCGTAAAGTATGTTTATTTATATTAAAAGTTTTTGAATTATGAAATCAGTTTAAAGAAAAAGTAAGTATTTTTAATAATAATCGGATCACTAGATTCTTTAGGTTAAATAAATTTAAGAGTCGATTAAATTTGTCGTTTTTTTTGAGTTAACCAAAATTTTGGTTAAATTAAATTCTTAAATTCGTTCGTGTTTTTTTTGTCGTTGTATCGAGAGTTTTAATGTTCGTTATAACGAGAGAACGTTGTAACGAGATTCGTTATAACAAGAATCGAGTGTATTTTTTAAAAGTTTTTTTTTATAAAAAACAAAAGTAAAATGTAAACGTTAGTCTTGCCATCTTTTGTTTATAATATGAGGCAATAGTTTCATAGTTTATTATACTTACCACAAAAATACATCGCACTGCGAAAAGTTAATTATTATAGACATTTCAAATCTTTTTAATTTGACTAGTTTTCTGAGTAAATCAGAAAAAATGTTAAAATTTTGGTTTCTAGTCCACCAGTTTGAAATATTGAATTTTTTAATTATTTTTATATTCAGTGACCTTAGATGCATATACAAAAAAGTTGTTTTATTAAGTCTTGTTATGGTTAGCTTGTTCATATACAACAGGTTAAAATTTTCTTTTAAATTACTAACATAGTTGACTAAATGCAATAAGATAAATTAAAAATTCGTCATACTTTTCCATTATTCTGCAATTATTTAGCTTAATTTCTTTACAAGAATCATTAAGTTTTGTGTGTTTCTTTAATGGGTATTAGGTTTTAAGAACAAGAAAAACACTATATGCTGGTTATAATTTAATTTTGAATTTATTGTATAATATTTTCTTTAAGATTACTTTTAAAAAATTTTTGAAAATACGAATTAATTTTTGATTAAGAAAAGCTAAATTAATTTCATGTAATATTATTTTTACTTCAGACAATAAAATGATAGAAGCATTAATTGCCTGTGAACCAGATTTGCTTCAAGTATCAAATCTTTCTCACAATATGGACACTGACCAACGAATTCTGGGACAATTGTCTGATCTTTATGATCGTGAATTAGTAGGCATAATTGGTATGTTTTTTTAATTCATTGTTAAATGAAAATTATTGTAGCATTGTGAATTTTTATTTTACTTTTCCATTACAGGTTGGGCAAAACAGATACCAGGATTCAGTAGCTTAGCTTTAAATGACCAAATGCACCTTTTACAAAGTACTTGGGCGGAAATCCTAACATTTAGTCTAGCTTGGAGAAGTATTCCAAATACAGGGAAACTAAAATTCGCTCAAGACTTTATATTAGATGAAAATCTTTCACGAGAATGCCATTGTGTGGATCTTTATATGCACGTAAGTTAATAATTACACACAAGTTACATTTTATTCATCCAGAAAATTATAAAATGACATAAGTAAGAGGCCTAGAGGCGCTCACTATTGTCTGACTGGTATAGTCCCTTTCGACCATGCGTTGCAGGCAGTTATCCGTTCCACACCCTCAATTTTATTTATTTGAAAGCATGTGAACACATTGGATAATTTAAGAAGAGCTATAACGTATCCAGTAGAACATTTTTTCGTCTACTGAAAATTATTTAATTACTAACGAGTAAATACTCAAAATTATCCTGTAATTTTTAAGAAAAACGCGTTTTATGATTTGCCAAAGAAACGCTTACCCGAATATACTCTTTATTAAATTTTGAAAAGTTAAAAGTGATAACGTTTTATGAATTTTTATTAAGTTTTGCCTCAACATTTCTGAATTGTGCCTGTAATTTTTCGATGCAGAGATTTTTATATGTCATATCAATAATTTTATAGTATTTTCATATCAAAATATAACCCCAAAGTTGTTTTTACAAAATTTCAATTTTTTAAGAGTTATTGTTTAAACAATTTTTAAGCATCAAATTATTAAAAAAAATGTCTACCGTTTTATTAGATAGATTTTGATACAATCAAGCATTGAAGTAGTATTATGTAATTCAAATGAAAACTTAAATGGATACTGCTTCGACTAACCATGGAAAGAGAGAATCTCTTCTTCTTCTTCTTTCTTTCCTTGTTAGTGGCCTATTGCAGAGCATACAGCCATATCTGTGTGTGATCACATAAATAAATGTGTGTGTTAAACATTAAGCAACGTTCACATGTGATGAACAAATGCATTAATAAATTCGTACGAAGTGCCATTGCATAAATAAAAGAAAGAACAATAGCAAAAACCAAACCGAAATAAAAAAGAGAAAAAAACAACAAAAACCAAAAAAAGACGATGAGAACAAAATAAATATGCATAGCAAAGTCAATTTCGCAATAAACGCTACCGTAGGCCCAGACTACTCAGTTCACCCGGGGTGAAGGTTGGCAAATGCAAAAAAAAAACCATGCATGCATAAAAAGAAAAAAACGAAAAAGAAACCAAAAATCAGCCAAAAAAAACTCAAAAAAGAAGGGAAAAAAACAACCAAAAAAAACAAAGAAAATCAAATTCAAATTAAAAGAAAATTAAAAGCAATGTTAATAATAATTAAATAGAACCCAGAGCATTTTAACCAAAATGAAAAACAAAAAACTTCAAATTCTTTGAACAAAGTGTCAAATTATAATGCGGGTCGTACTCCCGCCAATGAATCGGCCAAAAGCCTCAACCATCTCATCCGTAGGGGACAGCACCACATCAAGAGGATCAAAGTTTTCCGGATCCTCTATCCCCATCCTATGTACTACACTGAGAGAAGAAAAGCACAGAATCCGTACTGTGACAAACACCGGCCGTGTAAAATGCGTGTCAGTGCCCGTTCTTAATTTTATTCAGTTGGTGTCATTCATAGTTCAGATACTATGCTCAAGCAGCGCGGCGGCGGTACGAACTAATTAGTACAGGATCTGTTTCATAGCGACCGACAGATACTGTACTTCTAAACAGTAGCATTTGAAGTACAACATCTGTACCTCAAGCCAAAGCCAAAATCCGTTTCACATTTTAGCACGACACCTATCACACAGTGGCACTGCTGCTGCGTTCAATTGGAGTACAGATGCTGAACTTTTCCATTTCAGAATCTGTGCTTTTCTTCTCTCAGTGTAAGAAACCAAAAAATTCCGGTCTGTTTGGAGACAGGACAGGACATTCATTGAAGAGATATTTTAAAGTTCTGTCCTCTGCCCCACAGGGGCAGGTAAGATCAACTCTCCAACCCAGACGGCCGAAGTGATCAAGACAAACGACATGTCCCGTCCTAAGACGGGTGATGAAATTAATAGCTGTGCGAGAAGCTCTCGATCCAACAAACCAGGGTCTCCTCGTCTCGAAATTAACTCTAGAGAAATATCTCAATCCCTTCGGATGCTTGCCAAAAAATGGCCATAAGTCCCTAGTCCCAACTCGACTGAGAGAATCAAAATGCCTCAAAAGATCCGGACGAGGGAGACCAAACCTCTTCTTGAGAGCGGTTCTAGCAGCCATTTTTGCTGTGCGGTCCGCAATGTCATTACCCATTAACCCTTTATGGGATGGGATCCACATCAGGGAAATCCTTTGACCCCTCAAACTGGCAGTATAAATGGCAGAGAGAATTCTGTAGACAAGTTGGGAAAATGGCTCGTTACCAAAAACATTTTTGACATCATGAAGAACCTGTTTAGCATCCGAGAGGATGAGAACATTTGGAATATTCATTCTCTTGGAGTGAAGAATAGCCGATAGTATGGCATACGCTTCCGCAGTATAAGCTGAAGAAAAGTCCTGCAAAGCTACACCAAATCGAAAATTCGACTCAGGGATGTAAAATGATCTACCGACAAATGATGTCTCCGTAACAGAAGCCGAGCCATCAGTATACACAGCAACAAAATCCGAATAATCGTCTCGCAGAATAAGACCAAGAACCTCCGAAGGACAATCATCCTCCCCACATCTCTTTTGAAACAAATCCAACTGGACATCAGTTGTCATTGTGATCGTTTCCCAACTGAAATCAAAATCAGCAGGTCTATCAGTTCTAAACGACAAATCCAAAATTCCCCGCATTGAACTATAAGCACTCAACAAAGGAGCCCTAGCAATTGTCACAGGCATGCGGCACGTGGAAGATCCAAGTCTCTCAGAAAGTAGCTGTAACTTTGGAATCAAGGGATTAAAACGCCAAGAAAAATTTCGAATGATGAAACTTCTAGTAAGCAATCGCCGTCTATAAATGAGGGGGAACTCATTGGACTCGGACAAAAGAATTGCAACCGGCGTTGTGCTCATAACCCCCAGAGCAACCCTCAGAGCAGAGTTCTGGACCCTGTCCAGCATACAGAGCGCAGCCGAGTTAGCAGATCCATACAACTGACAACCCCACTCCAGGTACGAGCGAATCAAACCCCTGTAAACCATAAGTGCCAGTGCCGGAGCAACCCCCCAACTGACCTTTGAAATGACCTTAAGAACGTTGATGGCCTTGTTAGCCCGAGAAACATTTTCCTTTATATGTGGAATCCAAGTGAGTCTGGAATCCAAAAGAATTCCCAGATATTTAAGTTCAAGAGAGCCAACAATACGAGAACCATCCACCTCAATAAACCAACCACCTCAATAAATCCACCTCTGTTCAATCTTACTAGACGAGAACGGACAGAGCACACACTTAGTGGACGAAATACCAAGACCCATTCGCAATAGCCGATCTGACAACGGAGCAATAGCTTCATCAAGGAGAGCCATTGCCTCAGGAACATAACCACCCCTGGAGTATACAAGAAGATCGTCAGCATACTGCGCGGCCCTCACATGAGATGGAAGGGAAGAACCTATATCCGCCATATAGATGTTGAACAATAAGGGGGACAGAACACCACCTTGAGGAACGCCCACGCCACAGGTCCTGCTTTGTTCAGCATTCGAAAAATACAGCTCTCTTCTCTCAGTAAGAGAAGCAACAAAATTAACAATGCGTTCCGGAACTCCAAGAGTGCGCAGCTTTTCGTTCAAGATCATAGGGCGTACATTATTAAAAGCGCCCTTGATGTCAATTGCCAGAGCAAGAGTGACGCAGCCCCTACTGAATCCCTGTAAAATATCCGTGACGACAGTCGAAACACAGTCAACAGACGATCGCTTCCGTCGAAATCCAAATTGGAAACTAGGGATGATATTTCTCTGCTCCACAAAATGCTCCAATCTACGATGGACTATCCTCTCCATAAGCTTGGAAAGAACCGAAGTAAGGGAAATAGGACGAAAGCCCTTTTCTCCCGGGTTAGGAATAAAGATGACCCTGGTATTCCTCCAAGCCTCAGGAAACAATGAGTTCATAAAAAAAACATTGAACAATCTCAAACAGAAATGCTGAGCCCTCAGCGAGAGAGCCCTCAACCATTCCCATGTAACATAGTCCGTTCCCGGGGCAGATTTAATATTTCCCCTCATGAGTGCGGACCTTAATTCATGCCAAGAGAAAGGAGAGTTGAAGATGCTTCTCTCATCAACTTCAGCATAACGAGGAACAGAGACCGGTAGAATCTCCTCACAAACTAGATCATTCTGAAGCCTTTTAATCTCTGGAGACTCCGATGAATCCTGATTAAATCTTGGACCTCGAGGTGGTCCTCGAGGTAGTAAGGTCTCTCTTCAGAGACCTTACTACCGACCAAGTCTTAGCGAGACCAACATCCGGGGACAACTCATTACACATGGTCCTGAACGAGTCACGCTTCTTGTTGCGCAAAAACCACTTTACCTCCAAATCCACTCTCTTAGCTTCCAACTCATTCTCTCTCGTCTGATTCCTCCAATAGGCTCTGTTAGATTCTCTTCTTCTCTCGATAGCGTCATCGCATTCAGAACTCCACCATAGTGGACGAGACTTGCATTTCCGAGAACTCAAAGAAGGCAAAAAACCACCACTAGCCTCCACCGAGTTAACCATTCCAGAGACAAAAGCGTCATAAATTCCAAGCGGAGAATCTCCTGAGTCCAGGGCTTCGGATAAGCCAGTAACACACTCATCAGCTCGTTCCCGAAATAAGGACCAATCAACACTCCGGACATTGTATCTAATCGAAGAAGCCTTACAAAAGCTAGGTTCACATGAGAATGAGGATGTGATCAGAACATGATCAGATCCAAAATGATCACCGGTAACCTCCCATGTGAATAAATGATGGATCTCAGGTAAGATAAAAATTAAATCCAGATTTGACTGATTACGATGATCAAGAGGAGAGAATGTTGGAAGAGAGTCATTAAGAACAATGAAACCCTGATCCGCAGCAACAGAAGACAAGTGTCTGCCTCTGGACTCAGATCGCGCTGACCCCCAGGACTCGTGATGAGCATTGAAATCGCCACAAATAATTGG